TCTTAGAGGTCTTTTCCAACCTCAATGAGTCTATGATTCTAAAATAAATACGTTTTATTACTTTTTAATGAAGACCTGGAGTTTTCAAAGCGAAATGCAGAAGGTGTGTGTCGGGGCTGGAGAAGCGTTGGCATTGGCTCTCATGGTGTATAAGCAGGCATCCAGAGAACTTGCCTGCTGATACTGCGCAGTTCACTGAGGCGGGATGGGATGCTGAAACACAAACGGTCGTCTGCTTGGGGCCCATTTCATGCTCGCTCTCTGGTGTGAAATGGTGGCTAATGACACTTTCTGTTTTGTCATCCTGCAGGTTACTCTGGCCAGGACTTTGACTGGGCAGACTACCAGAAGCAGTGTGGAGCGGAGGCAGCGCCTCACCTGTGCTTTAGAAACGTGAGTTCCCTTTTTGCCGTCGTGTCACTCCTGTCAGTCCATGTGAAGCAAAATAGCTTGTACAGAAAAGCTGCAGCAAGGCTTTGGGAGGTTTCCCCAGACCACCATGAGTCCGTCTTAGGAAGGAAGCTGGAGAAGTGTTTCAGGTCTCCATCCCTAAAAGAGAAAAAAATGTTATCTTACTCTTGTCTTTATCCGATTCATTCAGATTTCCTGCTCTTCATCTCCTCTCTGATTTTGTACAGCACCTAGCACAAGAAGGATCTCAACTGACCATTGCAAGTAATTCAAGTGCTATTAAAAAAAAAAAACAAACTAGGTAACAAAATTGCATATCATCTGGCCCTTTTCACATTTTGGGTGCTTTCTCTGGTTCCCAGGGGGATACATTTAACCGAACCAAATGCGTTTAAAAGCTAAGGTTGAAGCTGTTGAGCTCAGAGCGTGAGAAGAGTGATTAACCCGCATGGATGCTCTGGTCTTTGGGACAGTTCATGTGCTTCCTTGATACAGCAACAGTGATGTGAGAGCGAGCAGCACATCATTACGCTGGAGGCCATCAAGATTCAGAGCTTTGGAAAGAGTCTTTTGCAGGCTGTTTTCCGGCAATGACAGTCTGGCGTGGCTTGATCCGACAGGTATTCATCACTTGGTGAAAGGCAGATGTACCCTTCTGCCTTTTGCAGTAGCCTGGTGCTCTTCTTTATGCTCCCATCAACTGATGGAAGTTGAGATCCCATCAATAACTGAAAATGTGGTGGTACCTAAAATGAGCACAGAAGGGTTTGCAAAATAAAGTGGTGTTGTGAACAGTGGACAAGCAGGTTGCTCTAGGAGTTACATAGCCTTTCACTGTACTCAGAAGTCATGAGACTCGGGGACAGGGTGTTTATGAAAAGCAGAACGGAGGCAGTCTCACAAGACACCAGGCGTGTTTTTCCATGGCCTTTCCTCATCTGTGGTGGCCCAAGGGCAGCCTCACTTGGAACAGACCTTTGATGGTGAATTGATGAATTTGAACACTTTTTGTTGATGAATTCAGAAGACCTGTATCATCAACAGAGTTTGACCTGGGAATCAAATCAGAGTTAGGAGTTCTTTGCCCCATTTATTGTGCCATCCTATGCGAAACCCTCAAGGGGACTCTAAGCGAAGATTTCTGGAAGCGCTGAGGGAAGCTGGACAATGCTGCATCACACCAATAGAGTGGGACAGTTGTCACATTTCTTCTCTTCTGCAAGCACCCCTCCCTTTTCTTTATATCTCTTTTTGTTTTGTCAAGTAATGGATCTATGCTCTCAGCACTGGAAGCCTTGAGAATAATCTCTGCATAATATCCTCCAAAGGTTAAATCAGGTCTAAGCACTTTTTTTTTTTCATTTTTTTTAAGGAAACGTTCATCAGATGAACATGTGTCTGTTATTCTTTCACTCTCGATAATAGTTCTCTGCAGAGAGATGTAATCTCGCTGTTGTCGCTTGTGCAACCTCCCTGGCAGGTCGGTCCGTTTGTTTTGCGGCTGTGAGCGGCTCTTTGACAGAAGCTGTATTGCAAGCACATCTTCCACCTAGTGCAGCCAGACGTGGTGCTGGAAGTGGATATGCTGTAGCTGTTTCCCCAGGGGGGATATTTAACAAGGAGAGGCAGTTATGAAATGGATTGACATGACCAAATGCTTAGTAAAATAAACTCCCAGCTAACTGTTTTGCCATTGATTCTGTATAAATTAGCCTCCAGCACCGAATTGCAATGAAAGTTGCTGGTGTGATGATAAATGATGTTTCCTTGTTAGGCAACATAAAAGGCATTTAAACAAACTCACCCTGCTTTTCTGAAGTCCTGGCCGTTGGCAGCTTTTACAGGGTGAAGCTGATCTGTGTGCTGAGCAAGGCTTCTGATAGTCCAAGCAATGTTTGAGACTAGCAGCACATTCTTGGAAGGCCTCTTGATGAAAAAAAAGACCAAATCCAGAAGTTTTTAGTCTCACAAAGAGCTCCCGGTGATTGTGCAAGGTGAAATGCCCATGGTCCTAGGTGCTGTACAAATAGCAGAAGGGTTGAATTTGAGTCTGGCTTCCAGTTACTCACATGGGGTTGCTGAATGAGGGATTGGTGTCATTTTGAGTCAGTGACAATACATCCTAATTATTATTAGTCACAATCTCAGCCAAGAGGGGGAACCTTTTTGTGCTACTGGGTGCAAAGAGAGATGCAAGCACTCAGAGCTGATGTGTTGCAGAACAGGTGGGACAGAGGGGAGGAAAATGCAAGGAAAGGAAGCCATGGCATGGCCATAGGTATTGCATTAGTGTGTGTTTTCAGGTGGGGGAGATATTGGGAAGTGCCTGACCTTAAATGAAGGGAGAGAGGACACTGGAAGGGACAGAGGGCAAGGATGAAAGTAGGTGAAGAGTAGCTTGAGGCTCGGCTTGTAGGGAAGCTTTTGGAGAGGGTTGTAGGGTCTTGGGGTCCCTCTGCGCTTGGGATCACTTGCCGTGGCTACAAACAGGAGCTGTGGTTTGTTACGTTAGGACTGAGCCATCCTGGCTCTGGCAGGAGTAGGAGGGACTGGTCAGCAGCCTGCTGCTGTCACGTGGCCAGGCCAACCTCAGACTGAAGCAGTTTGCCAAGGCATTAGCCTACAGCAGTGGTACCCGAATGATTTGAATTGCAGCTTCTCTCAGGCTCCCAAACTCGTAGTACAATGGGGGACGCTGCATTCTCGCAACCTCATGACCCCACATTTTGGTCCTGTGTTTCTTATTTGGGGTGATGACCACTCATTTGGGGATCATTGCTGTAATATCTGGCCTGGCTTTGCCTTCACTGGAGAAGAGTGGGAGGGCAGTGGGGGCCTTGGATGACCTGTGAAAGACCTGTTTCTTTGGTGCTGTATTTAAGCGTACAGAGGTACTGCTGTAGCAATAAACACAACTGGCTCCATCTACACCCACCTGCAACTGATGACCTTATGTACCTGAAGTCTACAGAGAAGGACCTTGCACATTGAGCTTAAAATACTCCATGAAGAAAAACATACTTGAATAGGTTGCTCAACTTTCTCCAGCGTCAGCCTGGGCAGCTAAATGTGTGAAGAAGTTTCTCTGGTCTCAGGCAAGATGGGTTATTTGCTTTAGAAGGTTTCTCCTAGCAAGGTGAGAGATGCGTAAGCGCAGCAGATATGGGAACCCTCTGTGTAGTATCTCGTGACAAACAGCGGCCAGCAAATGCATCACTAGCAAGCATTCAAATAGACTTGGAGCTGGTGCGGAGTAACCTCCTCCCAGTCTCTGAGCTGGATTGGAGTAAACCATGAAATACATTGCTTCCTGATTTGTTGCCGTCATTGTTTTTTCATATGGGTGTCCAGGGAAGCTCCATTTTGAATCTGGATGCCTTTGTGTTCTTCAGTGTATCCTGCACTTCCAGTGAAAAGCAAACCACGCTAAATTTATGCTTCCCAGCGGACAGCCTAATTAAAGTCATGTAGTGCCATGCTTCAGTGTTGGTCCTTGACTCTTTCAGACATCCTTCAGCCGTGGCTTTACTAAGAACATGAAGCTGGAGGCAGTGAACCCCAGGAACCCTGCGGAGATATGTGTCGCTTCTATCACCTCAGTTAAAGGACGGTTAATGTGGCTTCACCTTGAAGGTATGTGCTGTAAAGGCTTTTTATGTTTGTGTGGTTCACTCAAATGGTCTCTTAATTTTGTCCTTCATCCTCTGCACAATACTGCTTTCTCCAGCCTTTCCTTTTTATACACATTGACCAATAATATGTTATTAAGAATTATCTTCCCCTGCTCTCTCCACGAGGGAGCCACAAGACCTTCCACCCTCCCATCCATGTGGACTCTATCAGCATGGTCTCCATTGACGATAGAAACCTCCTCACTGCCATCATAGAATCATAGAATAGTTTGGGTTGAAAGGGACCTCTAAAGGTCATCTAGTCCAACCCCCCCGTCCTGGGAATGGATGTTTGCGTCACTCGTGCAGCTGAGACTTCCACTGTGATTTCCAACAGGCTCTCATGGGATCTCCTGTCCCCCTGCAACCTCATTCCTTCCTTTCACTCCTTTTTTTTCACCTAAGTCTATGAAACTTCTGCAATATATGCTGCTCCTCACTGTGGCCATCGCATGCTCGCATCCCTATTCTCTGTGATTGTATCATTTCCTTTGTTGATCTAAGAGAGCTCTTGCAGGCAGTAACTCTATGATACAGATTTTGGAAAGCCATCATCCCATGGAGAACACCACCACTGTACAAGCAGTATTAGGAGAGTGCTGAAAAACTAGCAGAGCATAATACTGTATCAAAACTTCCATTTCTACCTTTCTTGAAATGAGGTACAGATGAGCTCATTTTTAATGTGGTTTTGCTCTTGGGACTTTCTTTCTCAATTCATCTGGGCAAGGACTTCTTAAGTAAGTGTAATTTAGAACAACACAGGGATTCTTATTATTACTGCTTTAAAACCAGTGTTATTTGTAAAGTCACCGAGAGCAGAAAGCCATGCTCATTTAAGTGTTTTGATGGGCACTGTGATAAACCATAAAGTTGTTGTAGCATGCATCATTGTCACAACATAGTTTAATTTTTACCCATCAAGGTAACACACTGTTGTTTGAAGCTACTGGTTTCATCTATAATGAATATAAAAGTTTCAGTTTCCCACTGAAAATCAATAGTAATTGGGTCAGCATCAACTACAAATGTAATATGCTGCTTTGCTTTCTTCTGGAGAACCATGAAAATATCAAAGGCGTTTCTGGTGGCCCATAGTCCTGCTCATCACCAACCTCTGTAAGATCTGTGCTTCTGCCTCTTGATGAATGCATAAGGCAGACGTGCCGTCCCTTGTGCTGCCAGCCCTGACACAGTCAAAAATCAACACCTTGCTGGAACCCTCCCATTTGCAAAATAAAATGCATTTGGTTAAGCTACCATCATGGTTCAGGGAGACGTGATGTTGAAATGCCTCCACCCCTTTGCCTGCAATCACATGCTGGCAGGTAGATGCTGTGCAGCTCTGCCTATTCATTTCTGATAGGTGCCACTAGATGTTTCAAGGCATCCCTGAGAGATTGGGCTGATGAGAGAGCAGCATCTCTTAAACACTTGCTGTGTACAACCCCAGGAAATACAATGCCGTGTTCTCTCAGTGAGCTGGGAGGAAAGCAAGGCGCAGTCATATTTTGCAGCTCAGGGAGTGATGCATGTTGTTGCTATCCCAATCTCCTAGCAGGAAGAAGGGATGGGGAGAAACGAAGCTTGTGCTGGGCTCCAGGTTGCAGGGTTGTCCTGCAGAGAGCAGAATCAAAAGGAAACAGAGCAAGTCTTTCCTTTGCTAAAGTCAGTGACACCTGCTTGCTCCGTGGGAGCTCTGTAGCAGGAGGTGGGAGGGAGGAAAGGAGTCACCCATGTCTTCTCTGATGGCCTGTGGGGTCAGTATGGTGGCTCACGAGTAATTCTCCTGAAGTGCATTAAATCCAGGCTGCCGTCAAGATTGTTTCTGCAAAAGCAGTGTGAACCCTCATTCTCGGAGGTTAATGCAAGTTTATTTTGGTCCTTCCAGGGTGGAATAGCTAGGAAAGGGTTAATGGGAGAACAAACCATAGTCAAGTACATGATTTCCAGAAAGGACAGAGGAACAGGGGTCGCGACAGGGGGTTCTTGCAGAGTTCCCATGTGAGATGAAGTCTCAAGCCTGATCTGCACAAAAAGTCACCTTCCCTCCTCTGCAAGATGCTCAGCTCTCAGTGTTTTGGGGCTGGAAGACAGTGGAAGCCAGATTGATACTAACTGTATTGCTTCTTCATCACCTGGCACATCACCTTCAGCATTGTGCTGCGTTGATTATAATAACCCAAGAAGTATTTCAGCATCTGACAATGTGCAGTGCAATTTGTACAAGAGGAAGGGTCTCTAATCAAAGCCCTTAAAGTTAGTAAAAACATTGTCAGGTAACCCAAAGTACCTCATCTGTGCTAGCAGCTTGCTCTAAAATATAAGAAAGGCAGACGTTCTGTGGTGTTTAGCTCTACGAAAGTAGCATTATATGATAGACAAGGCTTTCCCGACGCCTCCGAGATAAATCCCATTCTGAGAGATTTATAACTCAGTTGCTACCTAAAGAGAGATTCCTCCTGACCTAAAGCTTGGCAGGCCAAATCATTTGTGCTTCTCGTGTCTTTGCGGCTAAGCCTCGTGGTTTGGGCTGGCTAAGAACTGGGGAGAGCAGAGCTGCAGGCGTGTGTCCAAATGCAGCAGAGGTGGGAGATGTAGAAGAGCTGGGTTGCCATCCTTCTCCATCCCTGACATACAGCTGTCACCCCAGGCGGTTTGTCTCCTCTGTGACTTATCTCCAGTGTACAGAGCAGATACGACTTTGCATCTTTGCTTTTGGTAGAGCTGTGTGCAATGGCGAGTTTTGTTTTTTTCATCTGAGATAACTGGTTGCCTTCTGACTTGAGGTAGCTAAAGCTCGTCTGCAGCCTAGTCTGGACATGGGGCAAATATTTTTGTTAAAGAGCTGGTATCAATGCTTGTTTGAAATTCAGTTCTCACTAAGACTGTTGTCGAATTTACACCCATCTGGTCAAGGAATCTGACCCATTTTGGCAGCTCCCCTTCTTAAATGGCCAAGTGCCTTCACTTCTATATTAAGATCTTACGGGGTTTGGGAATCTTTCTTTCTTTTTTTTTTCCCCTAAGTTGTAATACTTTCAAAGGGACTCCGTCTTCACTAAGCTTTTGCCCATTATAGTGAATAGGAAGTGCTGTTTCTTGGGTCTTTAAATCAACTAGTCCTCCAAGACCCTGGATAGAGGCAGGGAGAGGGCTACACGCTCCCACCTTGCTCCCCTCCCTCATCTCTCCCTGCCTTTTACTCTTTTAATTTCTTAAAGGATGTCTTTTTACAACTTGTCATAAAAAAACCTGTGTGCATCCTTGTCTTGAGTTCTGATATATAGATGCTTTACGCTTGTTTTATATCTCAATACCAGGAATAGAATGATCTGTAGTAAAAGGAAAAGATGCAAAAGACTGCAAAAATAAAAAGAAGTCTTTGCTGCTGTTGAAATACATGACTACAGTATGCACAGAGTTGCGCTAAAACTAGACATTAAAAAAAACCCCAAAACCCTGCTTGCAGAGTTGTAAAATAAATGCGGCTTGAACTGTGGCATGGTTTTTTGACTCCATTAAGACACTATTGTTTCTAACTGATTATTTATATTCTGGTAGCAGCAAGACTCCCCAACTACCATGGGAGCCCATCGCTGAAGGCCTTGGGTCCCACCATTTATCATGGGCGCGTCTGAAGCTTTCATTGTTGCCCTCCCAGTTTCGCTGTTTGACAGCCCAAACTGCAGCCATAAACCAGGATGCAGTAGTTAAGCAGCGTCGAGTTAGACATGAGGGAACATTGTTTAATAAATCACGCTTTGTACAGTAGCAAAACTCTGTAAACTTCAGGGCGAGCATTTAATGAACAGCAGTATCGTTCCCCCGTGGTGGAAAAGCATAGGGCTGATCCGAGGCTGTGCGCATCCCATCACTTTCTGCTACTTTATTACTCATCATCTGCATTGTTAATTTTTACTGGTTCATTTTAGATTTTAAAGCTGGAGATTTCTGGTGTGAATTTATACAAGTAATAATGTACACTCTCTGCACAGCCTAGGAATTTGAGGAAAACCCTTTTGTTAATCGCTTCTCCAGGGAGGTTTTCCATAATTTTCCCTTGGAGAGTTTTCCAGAGTTGCTGCTCTATTCTGCCCAAGATTTGTAGCAGGAGATGGAAGTTTTCCTCACCCTATTTCCAATCTCCCTGTTCTCTTCTTTTCCATCAAGTCTTACGGACATTTCTTAGTCTGAGAAGATGGCAGCATAAAACGCAGCAAATAAAACTAATGAGTCTCAAACAAGCTGTTTTCCACTTATATGAGTGAGGCCAAACGAAGCAGGAAGATGTCGGAAGTGGAAGGCAGGGTTATCAATTGCCAGAGGGAAGAAGCAGTGCCAGGGAGGACAGAGTAGCTGTGAATATGTCTTACAAGAGGAATAGCGGTGTTCCAGGAAAACAGACATTATGGTGCTTCCTTGCTCATCAGCGCAGCTGCAGCTGTAAACTTTAAAAACAAAATTTTCCTGTCACATCCATTGTTGTTTGCAAGCAGGAAAGTACATTTGATCTGTTTATTGGGTCAGAATAACAGTGTAGAACAGTTACAGTAATGAAAATAATGGCTTTTCCTAGATCTGGTGAACTTTCAGTGGGGACTGTGTTGATCTCTTGCTCTGTTTAGGGCTTGATCCATGGCTTGATCACTTCATGCATGTCTTGCCACTGACCTCAGCAGCTCTCACATCAGTTCCTTGGCTGGATTTGTGGCGTTAGGCAAAAATGTTTTGCCCACTGGAGAGTGCAGCTGTCATCAAGTTCAAACTGAGCAGTGACCTCTTGGTATTTTCTCATGGAGGGAAATGGTTTTGCAGGGAATGCCAGCTGCTGAGACCTCGCATTGAGGCTCAGCTGCTCGTATGAGCAGGTTGTGTCCTGTATCATGTGCCTTCATCCCATCCTCTTCCCTTCCCCATATGCCAGTGAAATAGAGACTGTATCTTCAATGTATCATGTGGGAACACAGTGCAGTGCTCAAAGGAATACCACGAAGACATCCATGAATCTATGCAGACATCATGATTTCATTTTTTTAATTATTTCCTCCAGCAGTGTGAGCACCGGCACCTACTTTCCTGCTTCCTTTGGGTTTTCATACAACCACACGCTTTCAAAGCGTGGCAAGTTTATTACTAGAGACGAGATTGATCCAAATGCTGCGTCTCAGCCTCGATGCCATTCCCATCACAAAGTTCAATTACTGTTTCAATTACACTGCAAGCCCTTGATGAACGTTCATTAGTGGGAAGTTCCCCGTAGTCATCTGGCTGTGCACAGTCAAACACTGCTGCATTAAGCAGGAGGCAAAGATGCTGTAACAGATGCAAAGGCGAGGATGCTGCAGGGGAAGCTGCTGGTTCTTTGGTCTCTTTTATTAGGAGATCGTCTCATGCTGGTGCTGGAGCTTTAGGTCGTAGGGTGGAAATGGCAGATTGGGGTGAAGTCGCTGGCTAGGCTGTGCCAGCGCAGACGGGCTTGAATTGGAGTAATTAAATGGTGTCTTGACTCAGGACCCAGAGTTGTTTTCAAAAGGACTCAAAGCCAGCAGGAGTATTTCAATTTGCTGCAGTGGGCTTTGAGTGCGACCCACATAAACCAAGACAGGAGACTGTCTTCTAAAGGAGACAGGATAACCAAGCTGGAAGAGATTTGCTTTAAGCAGAGATTTCCAGTGCGGTTTTGGAGTCAGTATTATGCCAGAGATCTTAGTGCATCTGTCCCACTTGGGGTTTTTATACTGCCTCGCCCTTGTTGGGCGATCAGCTCATGTTTCATGTGCGGTGAGGAGCCCTAAGAGAATTCGTGGCATCTCTAGACAGAAGAGTGGTCATCGCTCACCCTTAAAAACAATGACTCAAGGGCAGAACTACACGAAAGAGCTTCAGGGGGGCGTTGGGGCATAAAGGCCCATCACCTACCATCCTGTTACAGCCCATGTGGGCTCTCTTAGCAGTAAGAGCAAGCACCCAGCAAGTTCTGCTAACTTGCCTGTGCAACTCTACCAAAAAACCAAGGGGACAATCAGGCCGTCTTGCTGGGGAAAGTCATGCATGTTTAACCTTACTGGCTTTTGGCTGCTTCACTGTGCACCCTTAGAGTGCTCTTAATGGGGGCTTTCTCTGGAATCACATTGCACTGTAAATGCAGCAGCCTTATCGTTGCTGTCTGTGCAAAATTGAAGGTGAAATGATGCCTGGTTTTGATGCAAGGAAGCAGATTTATTTTTACGTGTTCCATCATTTACTTCCCTTGGTTCATGATGAATGCTCGAATGGCTCTGAGCTCGGTAGTCCCATGTCTAAATTACATTATAAATTTGTGTTTATAGGTTTACAGATGCCCTCTCCAGAGTACATAGTTGATGTAGAGTCTATGGACATTTTCCCCGTTGGCTGGTGTGAAGCGAATGCTTATAACCTAACTCCACCACACAAAGCTGTTTGTAAGTACATGGAAACCTCAAGCAGCATAGATATTACATCAACAGATTTATCAGAGAGTTTGTCTTATGTCTATAATCCAATTCTTGAAACTACCAACCTAACTAGCAGACTAGTAACCAGGCTGTAAGTGCACTGTAATAAATAGTAATAAATCTAATTAGTGACCAGACTCCACAGCACTGATACTATGCAATTTGTAGTTGTCTGTGTGATCAGTCCCTCTAAAAATGGGATTGTTTGCACTGGGAAAGGCTGTTACGTGGTTTGGGATTGCACAGTGTGGCATGTGGGTTTGCGATGGGGTTGTCAGAGTGAGACCAGGTTTTGTTGCGCTGAGCCAAGTTCACTCGGGCAGCTGAGTGAATTGGGGACATGGGATCTCAAATCAGGAAAAAAACCCGATAAAATATGGGGTGGAATGGATACAAAGAGGCCATCTGGTGCTCCATCTCCAAAGCAGGATCTGCTCCATCTAAATTGAGAAATGTTTGCTGGCCTCCTGTGATGGAGTTTCTACCCCTTCCCAGGGTATCTGTCCTGTTACTTCACTGCCCTTAACAGCTCAGAGATTTCCCTAGTGTTTAATTTAAATCTCTCCTGGCCCAATTAAGCCCGGAGTGTTTTGTCCTGCCTCCAGTGCGTACTAAGACCAATTTCTTTCCCTTCCATTTGCATTTGAAGGCAGTTCATGAGTGCTCAGTGGCTTGGTGTTCTTCTCCTGTTCCTCACAGAAACTATCCAACCCTGATCTCAAGCCACCAGATGAAAAATTAACCTCGCTGTTTATATTAATTAACATCTGAAAGGCAAATTTTAAAATGTGTCAACCCTTTTGAAGAGTTAAATATGCTTAAGTTAAAAATCAGGCAGCCGGGGCCTAATTTGGGAGAATACTGCTGTAGCAACATTATGCAGCCTTATCGCAATTTATAGCTAGGGATAAATTATGCTGGAGGTAATCATGCTTGTAAAATGTAATCTTATCCATATGTGTTTCTGTATGGAAAAATATTTGTGTTTTTATTTTAATTTTTTTTTATACTGATCCCATAAAACACGATATTAGCATTCCAGAGGAAAGATTAAATATATTATTACATCTTTAAAGTAGGTTTTAATGATGTAGTGACTTACTTAAAAAATACCAAGAAAAGATGGCGATAAGTTAAGTACCATTTCATTGTGTTAGAAGTCATTTATAGTCAGTGCATTTATACAGCTTTTTATGCGTTATGGGTATACTTTATAGGACAGAAGGGTACAAAACTATTTTTTCCTTCCTTGCTTCATTTTTGCAGTGCGAAGGAAGAGAAGAATTGCAGTTGTGCAACCAGAAAAGCAGTAAGTTTTTGTTATTTAAGGTGATATTTTTACAGGGATGCATCAGGTCTTCCAGGGGAGATAATACACAGCAGCTGAGTGACTTTGCTAACTACTGCCCAGATACTGCAGCAGACTCGGCAAGGGGGTTCCTTTAAATCTAAAATATTTGTGAACATATAAGAAAGTCTTTGCAATAGAAATATTTTACTAGCTGGGACTGTGTAGCCAGTCTGGTGGCCAGTAAGGGATGCTTGTGGAAGATGGACATGTAGCAGGAGGGCATTTCCCTATCTAGTCCTTGCAGGTTCTAGGAACTAGAATTTAAGGGACCTAAGTGTGAATATTTGCAGCCTGAAAGGCTAAAGGTCACAGACCAGAGTATATTTTTGGAGGAGTGGTGGATCTGGTTGCTGCTTCTTCAATGTGCAGGCCCTGGGCTATGATAAACTGTGTGGAAGCGGGGTTGCATTTGAGGTATCTCCATTTCTCGGTCCATGCAGGTCCTGGTGTATCTCTTGGTCCAGCCTTGAAGGCTGATTCTGCCCCTTTGCCCTGTCTGACACTATTAAATACACCGAATTGCTGTTTAACAGGTTACCATCCACAGTGCCTGTTGAGAAAATACCTCATGACCTCTGCCCGGTTCCTCAGCCAGACACAACAGGTAAGGCTGCTCGGCACCAGCAGGATCCTTATTTCAAGGACCCGTTGCCTGCATGGAGGGGGACGACACACTCCAAAAAGGGAGTGAGCGTGTCGTACAGGGTGGGGGAGATGGAACCACATCCTCAGGGGGTGTGAGGTGGTGTGGACCCACCAACAGTGCGAGGAGTCTCTGATGTACAGCATGTGAGGGTCTGGTCCTCCATGTGCGGACGTTGTGTCTTGCTGGGGTTACTGGAGTTCCCCTGCAGCTTGCCCATTTCAGCTAACGATGTTAGGGCCAGGCTAATGAAGCCCTGGTGGAGATGGATGGGACTTTTTAATTGGCATCAATGAAATTGCTTACACCAGGATTTAATGTGTCCCTGTGTTAGCATCATGACTGTGTGGCATGGCTGCTACTTCTGCTAAAGGCACATTTTCATAGAATCATAGAACCGTTTAGGTTGGAAAACACCTTTAAGATCATCAAGTCCAACCGTTAACCTAGCCCTGCCAAGTCCACCACTAAACCATGTCCCTAAGCACCACGTCTACACGTCTTTTAAATACCTCCAGGGATGGTGACTCCACCACTTCCCTGGGCAGCCTGTTCCAATGCTTGGCAAGCCTTTTGATGGAGAAATTTTTCCCGATATCCAATCTAAACCTCCCCTGGTGCAACTTGAGGCCGTTTCCTCTCGTCCTACCACTTGTTACTTGGGAGAAGAGACCGACACCCACCTCGCTACAACCTCCTTTCAGGCAGTTGTAGAGAGCGATGAGGTCTCCCCTTCTCTCCTCTTTAACGATGGCAGGAGGCTCTGAGAGTGCAGTATTAATCCAGTTAATTGCATAGACTCAGCAGGAGGGGCAGGATTTAACGCACTTTATTTCAGCAGACTGCAGGGCACGTGTTGGCATCTGAGCCAACATCCCAGGGCCCTGTTACAATCAAATGGGGAGAAACAAGCTCTTTTTGGGTATGATAACCAAAAAGTGGATAACCACTTGGATAGCACATGAACCGCATCTAGAAGTACTCACTTCTCTCCATGGGCTATAAAGGACCCCAGAGTAATTAGCTCAGAAAAAAAAAACTACTCTGTAGACCCACGTTGGGTCAGGGGAATGGCACCTCAGTGCTTACTGGGTTGGACAGCAGATGAACAGGGGTTTGCGGAGCCCTCCACCTGAATTTTCTCCCTGAGCCAATTCAGTATCTGTGAGAGGCAGCTAATACGTTCCCTTTCGGGCAAGTTGCAACTGAGTCACTCGTGTCCATCTGCGATGCGAGTTACGGAAGAGCCTTGGGTGACGTTATGAATGAAGTCCTTTCCCGATTCCCCTTTTGGTAGGGTGTGCAGCCAAATCAGTTGCTATTAAAAGCAATTGCTTTTACTGTGTCGGACGGATTTGAGTAGCAGAGGCTTCTCTACATCCGTGTCAGACGGATTTGAGTAGCAGAGGCTTCTCTACCTCCTATCCCAGGGAAGACTTCTTTGTGCCTCATTTACTCTTCTCCCCTCCTTCCCACATCTAGGAGGAAGAAGAAGGGCCCTTCATTTATTGTACAAAAGTGCTACACGCACATCAATGCTACTTTCTCCTTGCAGGCACCATCAATGGGAGATACTGCTGTCCCCAGCTCTACATCAACCACCGCTGCTTCTCAGGTCCATATTTAAACAAAGGCAGAATAGCAGAGCTACCTCAGTCTGTCGGGCCTGGCAAGTGTGTGCTGGTCCTCAAAGAGGTACGGCTCAGCTATCTTTTGGGGGGATTTCAGGGGAAAGCATGGGTCATGGGTTGCCAGGCCCAGAATTTGAAAAGAAGGCACCTAAAATTGTCCTGGAGCTCTGTAGTGGTTTCCATAAGTCAAAACTGCAAGCTGGGAAGAGAGGGTAGGTATATGCATTGCGGGTTTTGATGGGAGAGGTGACATTTTTGAAACGTGGGGAGTTCCGTTGGTTGGGAGCAAGTTTCATCTAACTGTGTGCAAGAGAATTCATGTTCTGACCGGAGCCGTCCCCAAAGAGGACCTCTGTGGTGGTTGTCATCAACCTGTTTCTCAGCATCCACGATGCTGTTGGGCCAGCAGATTCAGTGTGTGTGACACCTTTGTATGTGTGACCATGGTCTGATGGGGCCCAAACCATCAGGATCCAAAGTGAACAAGACAAGGCCAGGCAGGGGTGCGTGCAATGTGCTGAGTGGAAGCTGTGGTGTACCCAGATCTTGCTGAATGTGGATGGGTTAATCCCATGCAGCAGGGATGGCAGAGCACCACCATCTGTTCACTTTCTGCTGATGGAATCAGTGCTTGCTTTGGGCCAAATCCAGAGTGTTGAGCTCTTGCTGTTGACCTCAGGGAAAAGCTAGCTTGTCTGAAAACAGTGCATAAATATTTTCCATACATTACAGTCCATATACAGATGACAAGCAAGATGACTACAGGTGGGAGAGGACAGCAAGATGGTGCTGTTGGATAAGTAGGGTGCCACTGGTGCCTTAGACACCATTTCAGTTTGACCTGGGTCTTCTAGAAATCCAGATCCTCCAGCTTTCTGATCTGTACCTATATGAATCCCACTTGATGTGGATGCAGGGACATATCTGAGCTCCCTCTGCCCTTGGTGAAAAAGCATGGAAACTTCTAGGTCTCCATTTTATCTGATGTATTTGCAAGACCGTCAATGCCCAGCTCAGGATGTTTGCAGTTGTCTGAAATGAGATGAATCCCATCCCTTAACAGAAATGCCTGAAAGGTGAGATTCCTCCCAAATCACCCACCACTTTTGAAAACACGTCTGTACTGTACTGTAGAGTGTACTGTACTGTAGAGTGCCTTCTGTGTCCGCATTCACTTCCTCATCGCCTACGTGCACTGCCTTATACACACCAGCACTGCTGGTTGTCTCACATGGTTGAAAGCTGGGCCGTGAAGAGAGCCCCGCAAACCAGCTGCCTGTGCAGGTGGGAGACTTGGGTGTCAAAGAAGCAGTCAAAGACAGCCCTCAGCAGAAAGCAGGATAAAGTGGTTGCAGAGCAAAAGTTGACAACTGCCAAATTTGAAAGCAAGTCCACAGCAGCTTGCTGATGGGGAGCGTTAGCAATCTGCTGCTACTTGAAAAACAGGCAATGAAAAAGCAACATGGGGGAAACATGAGGCATGCACAGTCAATACTTATGCTAATGTTTCCTCTTCCTTTCCTCCTGGAATTTGGATTTTGAAAACATAAGCAGTGCAAAGCTTCTGCCAGGTCCTCCCCTAGTATCTTAGGGCTTTGCTGCATAGACTAACACCAGCTTCTCCAAATTCCTCAAGAATGGGACCAGTTACCAACTGTGGAAACCAACCTGAGTTTTCTACAGAAAGGCTATTTTCTCTTGCTCTGCCTCCTTACAGACTTGCTTGCTGAAGGAGCAAATAGCAGTGTCAATAAGACATGGGCATCTTGCTTTTGGAGACATGAATGACTTCCCAAGGAGAAGGACAATGGCAATGGCCCAGTGTTGGTCAGTGTTATTTTGCAGATAAATTCAAGCTCATTCTGGCCACGGGGACCGGGTCCAAATTCTGGAAAGGGTGAAGAGAAGACATTCAGGGTGTTGCTGTAGGGGAGATACACCTGGTTCCTATCAGCTGCTGCCAAGACAAGAGAGGTGTCAGCAGCTCGGAGAAACATGGGCAGTGGGGAGGATAGGGGTACCCAGCACATGGAGGAGGCAAGAAGTGACAAAGAAGACATCCCTGCATTGAGATGAAGATCTGTGGCAGCTGCCAGAGCACCCAAAAGGACTGCAGAGCTGAGTGGTGAGAACAGTGCAGGAGATACCTCCTCCAGCCCAAGACCACAGCCACAAGGCTTTGCACAGCAGAAGAGCGCACAAGGGTCCCCATCCCTCCGAACCCCGTCTCGGTGCTGAGCTTGATGCCTTTGTCTCGCTTTACACCCGCTGATGATGTGGCCCCGAGAATGCAAATGCATTATAATTATCTCTCTCTCACTATATAGGAAAATTGCAGGCCATTGTAAATTATGCATCAGCATAACTTGTCTGGAATAGATAAATTATACATGGGCTTTACTTTGGCAATACACAGGGGAGGGTGGGAAAGACAACTCAAAACAACAGCTTCGAAGGAAAAACGGAGTCAGTAGCTGTCTGGCAAGAGCTTTTTAAATCACCCTGGTCTCCAGCCATAACTCACTGCCTTTAGAGACACTCTAGTTAAAAATCTGTGCCAGTTGCCAGCCAGTTCACAGTGGGCAGCAGTCTCCGTGGTGGAGATGTTGCGGTGTTTGGCACTGGTGGAAGCCCCAGACTAAAAACAGCTGAACAACCAACTCCTACCCCATTTGCTGGCTTGGATTACCTCTAAAGCAAGAAGAGAGCAGGTGTCCTCTCCCCGCTAGCACCAGGTGATGGGAGACCTTGGTCCTGGCTGGGTGCCGATGGGGTAGCTCCCCATCCTCTACCTTCCTCCACACTCAGTCATGAGGGATGTAACAAAAAGTGCAGCACAACTGTAGTTCATGATGCTCCTCAGCCCTCTTTTCCCCCAAGGTCTTGTCCTTCCTTACCTCCATCACTGATGCAGTGAAGCAGCATCTGGGATCCAGCTCCGAACAATCTGGTGCTACCAGCCTGCACGCTAACAGTGAGATAGCTGTGGGTCAGTACTGCTTGGCTCTGGATTAAACAAGGTTAGGAGACACCCGTATAGTGTGGAGTAGGAACATCTCCTTCCATTTGAGTAGTCTGGGCTGTTCTCACCTGAGGTGTCAGGAGGGAAGCAGCACGGATAGGTTTGCTTTTGTGCAGCACCTCTTTTCCAGCAGAACAGGCATTTCTGCTGAGTTCTGCGTTGTTACTGCATCCCCCTGAGTTCTGCCCAGTTGCTTTGTCCTAGTGTTGGATTCAGAGGTTGTGAGCTCTGCAGGGAGGAAACTCCTAAGGTGTCTTCCAGAATGGCTGCCCTTGAGCAAGATTTCCCAGCAAAATCTTGAGAGCAATTGCAGCTTATTTGGTAATATGATCAAAAGTACTGATTTTAATTCTGTGTTTGTGTGCGTGTATCCTTACATCCATGCAAAGCCTCAGGTGAGTGACAAGTAACTCTTGTGCTGTCTAGTGCCAAACTTATTTTTAAAGCCTGGCTCTTCATTACTCCTGGTGCCAGCACAAGTCTCTGCTGACACCAGTGGTTTATTGTGGTTTCTTTCACCCCAAGAGGCAAGTGAGGTGGTAATGCCTGTTGTTTAACATCAGCTGCAAAGCTTATCTCATTCCTGAGATACTTGTTTGGAAAAGAAGTTGAAACTTGGACCTAAATACAGTGGAGACATCAACTATTGCCATCCAACAACTGCATCTGGGCTGAAAAATAGTGACTGTATAGTAGCTAAGATATGTAGTAAATGCTAACTTGAAGTTAAATTAAAATAAACACATTTTCAGCTTTAGATTTAGTTCTTGGATCAGAATATCTAAAAAATACTTCTGAACAGTTCTTCCATCTATGCCAACAACTTACCATGGCAACACTGTAAAACAAAATGAGATGTCTTTTTAAGACTTCAGATGATCTATAACCCACCATATCTTAGGGAAATATGCTGTAAAGATTAATTAGCCTCATTGCTTACTGCTCTTAATATTTTTAAGACACTTTGCTCTTTCTCTATTTAAAAAGAAAATGGACTTAAAGGTAACGTGACTGTCCAACTGATGCAAACAGGAGAAATCGGCCAGCATTTGTGAAGGAAAGCTATTGTACGCTGCAACTTGAATTTTTTGGAGCACAGCATGACTTCTTAGGAGCAATTTGCATAATTAAGTCACGGTGCTCAGAAAATTAAGTAGATTTTACTGAGCCTTAGGTGTATGATTGAGCCAGGCTGATAGCATTATCATTAGTGATCAGATATGGTGTTGGAATGGCAGAAACCTTCTATAGTCTGGAAGGCTATAAACTGCATTTCTGCAAGAGGGTTCACTAACATCCTCTTCAAGACTGCTCTGTGGACTTCAGCTCATCTGTAATGGTTCCTCCAACTTAGGATTTGGCCATCTGTATTTTTGAAATGTCATGGCCTGTCATAAGCATGTCAACACTTAAGTGCTACAACCTTGACTATGACAAAAGCGCACTTTTAGATGCTTGATCGTCCAACGAAAGAATCCCAAAGAACTCTTTTTTCCCTTCTCTCTCTGTCCCACAGGCACATCATTATTCCAAGGAAAATAAAATAACTTTTTGTTGTCCTGCCTGAGGCTAGCCTGGGAGTTAGGGTCTCTGCTGTTAGGTAGGAGATGTGGGCTCACATCTCAGAGGAGGGAAATTTAGTTTCTCCTCACAAGGATGCTGATCTTGAACAGCAGAAGAGGTGTAATGGTGTTTTGAACTGTACCTTGTCACTGATACCTCCTGAGAAAGCTTCATCCAGGGTTGGGACCATTAATGAAGAGGGGTGGAGAGATGAGAAATGTATGAATATGTCGTGGTTTAATCTCAGTCGGCAACTAAGCACCACACAGCTGCTCGCTCACTCCCCCCCACCCGGTGGGATGGGGGAGAGAATTGGAAGAGCACAAGTGAGAAAAAACTCGTGGGTTGAGATAAAAACAGTTTAATAATTGAAATAAAATCATACTAATAATAGTATTATAATAATAATAATACACAAAGCAAGTGATGAACAGTACAATTGCTCACCACCCGCCGACCGATGCCCAGCCAGTCCCCGAGCAGCGGCCCCCCCCGGCCAGCTTTCCCCAGTTGATGTACTGAGCATGACGTCCCATGGTATGGAATGTCCCTGTGGCCAGTTTGGCTGTGCCCCCTCCCAGCTTCTTGTGCACCTCCAGCCTTCTCAGTCGGTAGAGCATGGAAAACTAAAAAGTCCTTGACTAGTGTAAGCATTACCTAGCAACAACTAAAACATCGGTGTGTTATCGACATTGTTCTCATCCTAAATCCAAAACACAGCACTGTACCAGCTACTAGGAAGGAAATTAACTCTATCCCTGCCGAAACGAGGACAGAATACCAAAAAGCTTTGATGGGAAGAAAGGTGCTGAACTGCCCAGTGGTATCAGGCCTGTCTAGACATGCTCAGAAAAGGGCCCTTGTGCACTTGAAAATCTGTGACGTGGAAAACTTTATAGCTAAGGTGTCAGGTGCTTATAAGGTTGGGTAGAGTCTTGTGGTGGTGCTGTGCGCTCATGCTCACTGATGTGATTCCAGCCTACTTGACTCTGAAAATCCAAAGGTTAGCAGTATCAAAATAAAACCTCATAGATTTTTAGCAGCAAAGGCTGGTGTTGTCTAATCCACCCCTCTTCTCCAAGGCACCCAAACCATTCCTGATGGAGAGGGCTGAAAATAAACTACCAAAATCTCAGACTGGTCACACTCCAGCCAAAGGGAATTTAGTGAATCAGATCAAAATTTGATCAGTCTGTTGTGGATGAAGTGACTTTCCATCTCCAGAGAAAGTTGGAAACTTGAAATTTGGAAACTGGTCTAGGTTTTGTCACTATTTTTGCTTTAATCAGAATTAATTTTTCCACAAGAAACAAAGTGTTCTTTTTTCTCCCTAGTGTTCAATAGTGTGTAATATGAAGCGGTAATGTTGTTGGAAGATAACACCGTTAACATAGTGGTGGACTCCTGCTGTAGGGTATAATGCCAAACTCAGTGACTTATGTGAGATACGAGAAGAGTAAAAGCCAAAGCTTTTTAAATAAACATTTTTATTCCCTTAAAGGGAAATGATTGTTCTTACAAAGCACTCTTTTTTAAACTGAATTTAGAAGTTTACAGAGTCCTGCTGATGACAAGCCAGCTTTGAGAAAAGTCCTGGTATTGTGGGTGTCTTTGCAGGGCTGGAGTTGATTAGGTGTCTGGGATAATGCCCAGACAGGGCCACACTGTTATTTGCAGGGTCAGGCTTTCTTTTCTTGCTCATTTCCTAACTGTTCTGACAACTCATAAACACTATCGTCCTGATAAAGGAGCAGGGCAGCACTGTTTGTGGGAATCAGTCAGCAAGAGACGCTTGCTTTCTGCTCCCGGCTTTCCCACTGGCAAGCAGAGTGGGTACAGAAGTGTGCTGAAGGAGAGCTTTCCCAACAAGCTCCTGCGTAGGCATTAAATAACTCCCTGGATGTGCTGATCAGGAGGGGAACACACCTGGTGAGTTGTGAATGAGCGTGGGAGCTACCCAGGCACGTGATGTTTTTTGAAAACCCACCTTTGGCTTCCCTGCATCGTATCTCGGTGTCTTTGTGTCAGAGACCAGTGCCCCATCAGTTTGTACGGTGAGTAGCAAGCAAGAAAAAATGTGGATGAGCAACTGGATGGACTCACTCAGAAGCTTTCTTTTGTTCTCTTGTGAATCAGTATGGCTTAGTAACTAGTATAGCGGGTTGTGTGATGAGATGGGAACCAGCTGGAGAGCTGTGGGTAAATCTGTGTTGTAGTTTCCCTTTGTGTGAGATAGGGAGTGTGCTCCTGCCCTTCCTCATAGAGTGCTTTGAGATGTACAGATGATCAGCACTGCATAAGACATTAGTGCTGTTATTAGGCATTGCTTTAGGTGTCTCTAATTGCACTTTTTTTGTAGAGCGGCTCGAGTAATGTTTCCAAGGGCCCAATGATAAATCAAATTTTGCTTCTAGTAAATAATGTAGCCAGACAACTCAAACCACTGCCATTTTACATGGTACTGTGCAGCATTAGGTGAAGCCCTTGCCTGAAAATAGTTCATCCTATGAGGTTTTCAAAATACTAGAAAAACCTCAGATTGCTGGATTAAAAAAACAGGAAAAAAACCCCAATATGTAAACATAGTGCTCTTTGCAATATGACCTAGTCAGTTTTTCATTTCTGATGAACCACGTTCACGGGTGCTGGGGAAGCTTAAAGCTCATCATACTGAAATCATTTGCAGGCCCCGAGGGAATGAAGAACAGGCATTAGGTAAAGAGCTAAATTACATCAAAACCAATCAGACTCACTATGGAGTCATTCATGCACATGCAATGCAGAGTGTTCCAACACATGGTCTGGTGCTGTTCAGAGATTTGTTTTTCTTGTATTTATCTCCTTAGGCCAAGTGTAGACTATTAAAGCTTGGATTCGCTGAGCCAATAGTAAGAATCATTTTTATTCTCAGAGACTTTGCATTAAATGGATTGGCACATGTGTTTTGTTGTACAGAGTGGACACACACTGGGTTTCAGGCACACCTCCTGCAAACTCTTTTTGTGTAGATGTCATTAAAGTTCTGTTAATACAGTCAAGGCACGCAGCACTCAGATGCTTAAGCATATTGCTGACCTGAAGTATATGAATTTCCCCTTTAGTGTTCAGCGTGTAACGGTACACATAAGTTTGTACCTGGTTGAGCCATCAGAAGTATTTTCATTTTTTATTAAATTGAGCCAGTATGAATGCAGGGGGTGGAATCTGCTTTGGGTGAGAGGGTCTATCTCGAAGAAAAATGCTGATTAACAGGAGATCTTTGGGGTTAGCTAGCAGCATTTAATGCAGTCGCCATATCAGATCAATGTGTCATCTGCAGTATGTTTGGCACGTTGATCCAATCTGGGACCTCTTCTCATTGCATCTAGCACTTACCCTGTGCAGCCTTGAACCTAAATTGGCACCTGTAAGCTGATCCTGCCTATGCAGCACCTGGGGACATATTCAGTGTGGTCAAGGACTACAACCTATCAGTGTTGTCGGTTTTGTCTCTCAATAGGTTCTCAGCATGGTGATCAATGCAGCTTACAAGCCAGGGAGTGTTTTACGAGAACTGCAGCTAGTGGAAGACCCTCAGTGGAATTTCCAAGAGGAAACACTTAAAGCAAAGTAAGTCTTCAGCGTGTGGTCTTTTATTTGTGAGGCTTCAAAAATGGAACTGACATGGGGGGGGGGGGGGGGGAGAGAAAAAAAGAATTTTTCTATTGTGAGAGTTTTACTTTTCTAATTACCGTTTTGCTTCATTGAATTATTTGACTCATTCTATAGCAACTTAAGAAATGAAATATTCACCTCAATGGTTCATTTCTATTGTCTTTCTCCAAGCAGCCATCCAGATTTTGATGAAAAATGCCATGTTTAGTCAGTGAAGTCCTGAGTTTTATGATAAGCTGTTCCTATAAGCTTGGCTATTATTGAATTAACTCAATTCCTAGCTTTCTAAATGTAGGAGTATTACTGCTTTTAATATAGAGCCTGTCACTCCAATGGAGAAAAACCTGGCGAGAATGAATGGCACAAAAACAGTGCAAACAAAATAGCAGGGACACATTTTTAAGTAGGGGATCTGGGATTAAGATCAAGATTTGAGGCCATTCTAGAATATATGCTTCAATTCTCATCTAAACAACACTTAAGAAAACGGTGTATCTAGAAAATACTCAATTTCCCCTTCCAACTTTAAAATTTACTTATTTATGTCTTTATGTAATGGACACCACACTTAGGATGTATTTCAACAGCCATTGTCCCTCTGAAAGAGGGGAGTCTCACCTAAGCTCTCTCCAGAGTCCCTTCAAAGAGCAATTCTTCCCACTTCAAAACGGATGTCAACAAATAGTTCTTTGAAGACAGCTCTCTCCATTGACTAACTTGGTCACCTTGACTTTCGAATACTGAATTTAAATGCTATGAATCTCACCCTTTGTACTGTACTCTGTTACTCCTTTTCAAATAAAAGCAAATTTCTCTTGGTTATTTGAAATGATTGGCTGTTAAATATGGCATTATTGATTGCTATTGTATTTGATCTTTGGCCGTGCAGATATTTCAGAAAGCTCATGTGTGCTGTGGTTGAGGGAGAGAATTGAGAACCTTTTATTCTGCATACTCGGAAACTGCTTTTCTAAAGGAGGATTGCAATTAGAAATGAAAAGCTACTAGAAAATCCTATTTTTAATTTGCTTCTTTCACCCATGTGGAAAGTCGTGTTTTTGAGTTTGTCAATTGAAATTTTGTGGATGGAAATCTAAAAGTCATCCTTGCGCATGCAGATTTTCATCAAAAATAAGTCATCGTCCGTGACCTGGTTTTCATTGATTCCAGTCTCCCACACCTTGTACTAGCAAATATCAGATAACGCATTCCTACAGGTACTTAGCAGTTGTGAAATCAAGTTTTAATGCCGTATCTTAATGTCCTATCCTGCAAAGACTTGAGCTTACAGGCCGTTTTCCTATTAGCAGTATCCAAAATAGGACTTTGTTGGGATTTCTCATTTGAGTGTGGGGATCCGCCTTGTGCAAAAGCAGCAGTGTCTAGTTCTTAAGGCTGCTGCAATCCTTATTTCTAATGGGAGACAGCCTGGAAAACGTTTAACTGACCATCAAGCGCAGGGATGTCTTGTCCTTGATAATCAGCTATGTCTACAGCCCATATCCAATCCACTGAGACCCCAGGCAGCTTGCTGACTCCAGGTGTGCTTGCACCAGGAAGACCAACTCAGTTATGAGTACATGGGCCGATAGAGATTGTCACTCATCCATACCACATCAACCACTTCTCCTCCCTCACTGTTGCCTGATGTGCTAATCATACTGTAATGAGCACTTCCATCTCCGTTACCTTCCCCCATGACGCTTCTACCCATTCTTTCCTGTGTCTGTTTCCTCCTCTCATCTGTTTAGCAGGGCAGCCAGCCTCCTGGGATATACCGTATATCCACATAGCCTGCCAGCTAAAAGTACTCTGCGCTGGGTAAAAAAACTGGCTGGACGGCCGGGCCCAGAGAGTTGTGGTGA